GGTGAAAAGACTTTGGACTTAGGTTGAAATTTTTACTAGTCACTGGTAGAAGAAATACAAACTGGGATAACTTTTCAAACTACAATTTGAGAATCAAGATCTTTTACTGCTAAGCACCTTTGAATTTTTTTCTGGGTTTGCTTCAAAAACAACTAAAATAAATGCATTAAAATAGCTATGCTAAAACATTAAACTAACATTAAAGTAAATCATATGTTAGGAGAATCTGCCAGAGAACAAACTCTAAGATGCATAGAATCCTAGCAAGATAAATTTTGAGTTGAATCTCAAAGCACTGTCTTCTACTTCTAAGCATTGATAATTCTATGTGGAGTTTATTAGTCTGTATGTGCTATTTGCTTTGATATTTTTATTTATTGTGGTAAGAAGCAACTAACGTTCAGTTTACCATCTGTATTAGTCAGGCGTCTCTAGAGAGACAGAACCAATACAATGTAGACAGACAGACAGATGAGAGGGAGTTTATTACGGGGAATTGGCTCACGAGATTATGAAGGCTGAGAGGTTCCACGATACAACGTCTGCAAGCTGAAGAATAGGGAAGCCTGGCTTTCTGCGTGTGAACTCATCCAAATCCAAAGGCCTCAGAACCGGGAAAGCTGATGGTGTGACTCTCAATACCGGGCCCACAGCCTGAGAACCTGGGGGGCTGCTGAGGCAAGTCCCAGAGTCAGAAGGAGAACCGGAGTTCTGATGTCAAAGGGCAGGAGAAGAAATGTGTCCCAGCTCCAGAAGAGAGAGGGAGAATTTGCCTCTCCTGGATGCTTTTTGTTCTTTTTGTGCCCTCAGCTGATTGGATGGTGCCTACCTACATTGGGTAAGGGTGGCTCTTCCTTACTCACTCCACTAATTCAAATGCCAGTCTTTTCCAGAAAGACCCTCCCAGACACACCCAGAAACAATGCATTACCAGCTGTCTGGGTATCCCTTAATCCAGCCAAGTTGACACCTAAAATTAACCATCACACCATGGTAACTATTTTTTAAGTGTACACTTGAGTAGTTTTAAGTATATTCACATTGTTGTGCGACAGATTTGCTTTGATACTTTTTGATGGTCACTTAAACTTCTGCTATTTTAATCAAATTTGCTTTTTTAAAGTAAGGGTATGGAAAGCTTGTGATTTTGTGCATGACTTTCTTTCTCCTTCTCAAATTTCTTATAGAATAGCTTGACAAATACAGTGCATGTTCCCATTCTGCATTTTCCTGCCTAATGCAGACATCGTTAACTAATAATTTGCTATTTATGCTTAAGATTCTCAGTCTTACTTTGTACATAACCATTATCACTATAATCAGAATTGACATGAGAGATGAAATCTATTTCTATCCTATCTTATCAGCTTTTTCTAATCCTAGGAAAAGGTATAGGTCATAATTATGGGGTTTGCCTTTTAAGTTTCCCAGATCTTAACTCACTATCAAAACTCTCTAGTTGGACTTGCCTCTCCCAGCCTGAGGATTTGCTGGGCCAGTTTACCTCCAACCCTGGATATCAGAATGTTTCTCTTGAAGAAGAACTTCCTTGCCTTTTCACGTTCACAGCTGATTTTGGAAGTCATTTACCTTCTTTTCCTTACAACATCTCAGTCAGTAAATTTTTTCCCCCAAATTAAGTTTATTGCCTTGTGTGTCAAGAGTCTCAGTAATTATAGATGTTCATATAGAAGACATTTCTATCATTTAATTTTTTTTTCTTTTCAGACTATGGACTTTTAACTTGATATTTATGAAACAGATTAACTCACTTTTAGGAAATTTATTCCTTAATAAAATATTTCAAAAAGAAAATGACTGTCTTAAAATAACAGACTTTCACGGCTGGAGGGGTCCTTGGAGAAAGAACCCAATTTACTCAGGCCCAGGGGCGTTCCTTGAGTTGCCCACAGTGACACATCCATGTAGTGGCAGTGCTGGGAGTAGCATCCAAAATATTAAAAAAGAAAAGAAATTGTTTTCATCACAATGAAAAGTCAGAAAGGAAAGACACTTCTTGGCCATGACCCAAGGGACAGAGTTAATGACGTGATTAGTTAATATTCATTGAGAGATTTCTATTCATCAGGCATGGTACTACGCCTTTCTTATTTAAATCTTATTTAATTATCACAGCGACCGACCCTTTTGAGGTAGGTATTATTGTGATACTGGTTTTACAAATGAGGAAGTTGATATTTAAGAGATTAAACAACTTTGTACATGTTTATATTGATAAAATGGCAGAGTCAGAATTTGAACCCAACTCTCTCAGTTGGAAACCTGTGTTTGTAACCACTGTATGTTAGTATTAATACAAGGCTTGTTCTCTTTGTGTGTGTGGTTTACTTCTGATAAAAGTCTCTTAAGCAAAAGGCTGTCCGCCGATGCAAAAGGACATCTTCCTGGATTCAAATTAGGGAAAGCTCAATGGAGAATAAGGAGGGGACAGGAAAGAGTGCTCTGGTGATGGATGGCTGGCCCCTCTCGCCATCTCTCCAGAGAACAATTAGTGCTCAGAAATGTTTGGCTGTAATGATTGCTGGGCTTTTTACGTTGGACCCTGGAGTGTGTGCCAGAGAGAGAGTATGGCTATCGCTGCCCGTTAAAATAATGAACTCCTGTAGGCCACTTGGAAGACTTGGCAACAAAGGAGCAGGGATCTTAGAAGCAGGTATTACTATTTACAGAGGCCAAAGCATAAAAAATTGACTGAACCAGAAACCGGGTGGGAGCAGTGGGAAATGCAGATGAACTGAGGGTTGCAAAAGATATTATCAGAGCAAAGCGACCAATATTTCTTCTCTTGTAGCACAAGATCGCAGGACACTGCTGCCTAAAGTAATTCAGTAAGTCCCGCTCAGTCCCCCCAACCTCATTCGTCCAGCAAATGGCAACTGTAAATTTACAGCCTATTTTTTTATTTGTAAAAAGGGCAGAGTAACACTACCACTTCCTGAGGCTGAGAGAATTAAATGGGTTTATATAAATCAAGTCCTTAGAACAGTGCCTGGTATACAATAAGTGCTAAATAAGTGTGGTTATATAATGATTGTTATTATATTATTATGATTGTGATTATATTATATATTAAATATTTTATTATAATAATCATAGGCCAAATTATAACTCATTATATAACTCATAGGCCAAAAACACTCTGCTAAACTCTGAGGGTAAGCAGTGAAAAAAATTCATTTATTCAACAAATATTTACTGGGTGCCTATGTCCCAGGCACCATTCTAGGTATTTAGGATAGATCAATAAACAGAACAGAAAAAGCTTCCTCTCTGCCTCTGAGCACCTTACATTCTGGTAGGGAAGATTTCATTAAGATAAGAAACACCAAACTCATCTTCACTCCTTTTGGTAGGTTACGTAGATTGGTGCCATAGTCAAGAGCAGTCTAGGCTCCTCTTGGTTTTGACTGCTCAGGCAATGACTTGTGGGGAGATTTGAAACTTGCAGAAAACACAAAACTCGGAGTAGTTTTTAATATGATGAATGACAGAGAAGCACCATCCAATGGTTGCAAGCATGCATGGGCAAATAGATCCCATACGAATGATAAAATACAGCAACTTTAATTTCACCGCTGAGTCTTACCCCAGGGCATTTCTGCCTTTTTACACCCGTTTATATTTCCTTGTTTTGATCTTACATCAGGGCCAGTCTGTCTTTCTTAATCACTCATTGTGGATGGACTCACCTCATATCTCCAGAATGATAATCTGATCTGGCCTGATGACATCAAAGTTGTCCTTTGCCTATCATTGACCTTAGACATCTGATGAAACCTCTCCTCCCCTTGGCTTTTCTTGCTCACGAAATATTAGCTTCTGTGGGTTCCTGACCAACATGGCTCAGTCAATCTCTTTGATATTCCTCCCCTGCCCCCTCATGGAGGCACATTCACAGCCTTCTACTCCACAATGATGCCGATTCGTCCAAACTTTTATCTTTCTATGAATTTTATGCAGTGAATTATATAAAAACTTACTATATAATTAGAACAAAATTTTTAGTTTTAAGCATATATAAGTGTGTATATATGTGCATACACACATACTTATATACACACACATATATAGTTTTTTTCTTAGTTTCATTACCTAAAAGAATAGATTGTTAGACTATGGCTTAAATTTCTTCCCCTAAAATGGCATATGTCAAAAATTATAGAATTAAAGAATTTCTTTCTCTCTTTCTTTTTCTTTCTTTCTTTTTCATTCTCTCTTTCTCTTTCTCTCTCTCCCCTTCCTTCCTTCTCTTTCCTTTGTTTCCTTCCTTCCTTCTTTCCTTTCTTTTTTTTTTCTTTTCTTTCTCTCTTATTTTTTATGTTTTTAGAGATGGAGTCTCACTCTGTTGCCAGACTACAGTGCAGTGGTGTGATCATAGCTCACTGCAACCTCAAACTCCTGGGCTCAAGTGATCCTCCTGCCTCAGCCTCCTGAGTAGCTGGGACTACAGGTGCACACCACCATGGCCAGCTAATATCTCTATTTTTAGTAGGGGTCTCAGTCTTGCTTGGGCTGGTCTTGAACTGTTGACCTCAAGCAGTCCTCCATCTTTGGCCTCCCAAAGTGCTGGGATTATAGGTGTGAGCTTCTGTGCCCAGCCAAAACTCGGATTTCTGATTCCCAATCACTTTCTATACTAGTAGAGTGATTCTCTTTTAGTCTACAAGATATATATCATACATACTTTTAAAATTTTTATGCATTTTTTCCTTTTTAAAAATTTGAATAGATTTAGGACCTACCAGTTGAATTCCAATATGATATATACTATACAGTGGTGAAGTCTTGGCTTTTGGTGTAGCATACAGATCTTAAATAGTGCCAAGAGATTATCCTAGGCCGACTTCCTCTGAGAAGACTTTGTCTGGGAGGTGGCTGGACTCTAGGTGTTAGCTGTTTATATGATCTTCCAGGAAATATACACTCTTACAATGACAAACAAAATCTAACTGACCACAGGATTGCTTCTTTTGTTTATGCAGGAAGCAGGCCTATGGCTGTAGGAAGGAACAACACAATTGTGACAAAATTCATCCTCCTGGGATTTTCAGATCATCCTCAAATGAAGATTTTCCTTTTTGTGTTGTTTCTGGGGATCTACCTCCTGACCCTGGCCTGGAACCTGAGCCTCATCGCCCTCATCAGGATGGACTCTCACCTGCACACGCCCATGTACTTCTTCCTCAGTAACCTGTCCTTCCTGGATATCTGCTATGTGTCTTCCACAGCCCCCAAGATGCTCTCCAACATCATCACAGAGCAGAAAACCATTTCCTTCGTTGGCTGTGCCACGCAGTACTTCGTCTTCTGTGGGATGGGGCTGACCGAGTGCTTTCTCCTGGCAGCCATGGCCTATGACCGGTACGCTGCCATCTGCAACCCACTGCTCTACACAGCCCTCGTATCCCACACACTTTGCTTAAAGATGGTGGCTGGCGCCTATGTGGGTGGATTCCTTAGTTCTTTGATTGAAACATACTCCATCTATCAGCACGATTTCTGTGGGCCCAACATGATCAACCACTTCTTCTGTGACCTCCCTCCAGTCCTGGCTCTGTCCTGCTCTGATACCCTCACTAGCCAGGTGTTGACCTTCGCAGTGGGCATTCTCGTTGGAGTGGCATCTGTCTTTGTGGTCCTCATCTCTTATGGTTACATTGTTGCTGTGGTTCTGAAGATCAGCTCAGCTGAAGGTAGGACCAAGGCCTTCAGCACCTGTGCCTCTCATTTGACTGCTGTGACCCTCTTCTATGGCTCTGGTCTCTTCATGTACATGCGACCTAGTTCCAGCTACTCCCTAAACCGGGACAAGGTGGTGTCTGTATTCTATGCCGTGGTGATCCCCATGGCGAATCCCATCATCTACAGTCTTAGGAATAAGGAGATTAAAAACGCCATGAGGAAAGCTGTGAAAAGGGACCCTGTGCTTTCTCACAGGCATTCATTTTTCTGAACGTGGGCTAATGTTTACAGTGAAGCCGTGAGCTGGGTCAGTGGTGCAGACACTTACGTAGTTTTGGAATAGTAGATCCACATGATGATTTGTGTGGACCAGTCTTTTTGCCCCCCTTTCTAAAATTCCACTAACCAGTTTACTTCTTCGCTATTAGAAAATAATTTGGCCATTATTGGTTTCTAGAATAAGATAGCATTTGCACAGAGTGAGATTTTAAATGCTTAATTTAGCAGAAAACCTCACCATGACAAGAAACATCCTGGAACATTAAAATAGAGCTTGTGTCTGTAGAAGAAGAACCATAGAAAAATTAGTCCAGCATTTATGGAGGTGATCCTTAAGGTACTGTATAGCATCATGACCTGCAGAAGATGACAGTCTTTCTGAACACAATTGCCTTTTCCTCCTCTGAGATTCTCAAATGCTTTCTTTAGAGCTCACAAGGACTACAAGGCAGACACCCTCACATGTTTGAGAATCTGGCTGTGGTGAGCCACTGTGACTGACGAGGGTATGTTAATATTCTTCGGATGGATTAAGGCAGGAATTCTGATTTGGGCCTTAAAGACTGAGCAAATGGAGCCACCTCTTGCACAATTCAGTCAATGACACAAAAAGTTATCACTAAGACGATTTTAAATAAAACCAAGAAATTACTGCTTAAACCCAAAGTAACAGCTTTCTAACCAATCCTCAAAAGTTTCTTTGGAATCTAGAAGAGCACTCATCTGGGGTGAAAGGTTTGGGATAAATTCTAGATGAGAACTTAGCCAAGGAATTGAAGACAATGATTTTTCTTCTTCACATTTTCTCAGAACTTTTTAATGTGTCCTTGAACTGGCAGTAAAATGCTAGAATCAATTTATGCAGCTGTGGCCTTTCTACGGTAGGCCATAAATGGGTGAGTGAATTATGTCTCTCTGTGTGTCCATGGGCAATTTACTAGGACTCTGTGTGCCTCAGTTCCTCATCTGTAAATTAGAAATAATAATAGTAATTATCTGCTAGGATTATTGTGAAGAATTAAAGTGTACATGTGAACGTTTAGAGTAGTGCCTTGTGAATAGGAAATGTTCAAGAGGTGCTATTATTATTACTATTAAATAATGACTTATCATTATCTAAGCCAAAGAAATAGAACCCATTTCCTTAGTTTGGTGGAAAATGTGAGCTTTGTAATGGCTTTGCTGCACTGGAAAGAGGGTCGGGAGAGACTATCCCAAAAAGCGGTTAAGAATATTCATTTTTAAGTCAGCAGACCTGCGATTATTAATCTCATCTCTGCTATTTTGCAGGCATGTGGTTTTATGCAGGTTATTTACAGGCTCTATTTTCCTCTGTAAAATGAGGATAATAATTGTATCTACCTCATAAAATTGATACAACAATTGAGTGAAAACATGCATGAAAAGAGAATATGCCAGTGCTTGGCATATGGCGATACTTAATATGTGTTAGTTTATATTATTAGTCAATTAGTCAACATTTTTAGTCAATTTTGTATAAAATAAAAAAAAAATCCAGGGAAATGTGCTAAAAAGAGACAAAAGAAATAGCTTTGGGATATCTCCAACTGGGACATACCAGTCTCAGTGAGAAGACGCACTCATGCTCTCATCTCTGCTATTTCTCTCGCACATCAGAAGTGGTCCCTAGGGAATCAGAACAAGCTCAGGTTCATAGATGTGGCCATTGTGCCAACTCTGTCAGCAGCCTGGACGCCTCCCCCTCTTCCTTACACCCACTTCCCCCACTTCTTTATCTGTCCTCCAGCTCACCAAACTCCTGCCGTTCAGTTCACCAATTTTTAAAACGGTAGCTAATTTTAAGTTCTAGTGCCAAAAGTCATTGAAACAACACAACTAGCTAAATAAAATGTCTCATGCTTTGGATTTACATGGAGCTGTCACCGATCTATTATTATGTCTAAACTTTTTTGGTGAAATGATATTCTGAATACAAAATCTTTATTAAAAATCTCTCTTGTTTTGGCCACATATATATTTGCTAGCAATGGAAATTTTCTCTTGGCACTGAGACGCTATAAGGTCTTTTTGCAGTTTGCCTAACTACCAAGGAGAATATAAGGCTCTTTAATAACGATTAATTCTAATGTATAAGATGGGGATTGGTTGCAAGACTTGAATGAGGCAAAAATGATCTGGGGTTTACAGTAAGCCACATGCTAAATCAGACTTCCAAAATAAGTACATTTATTGTGGGGCATATAAGCAGATATACATTAAACAGAATAGTTTGGGTACTGAAGGAATCAGGCATTTTATAGGTATTTAGAGCAGGACAAGGTACACCTCTCTCTGGGGAGGGCTGGCTAGCTGGGGATAGAACTCACTTTAGTAAAATTACCACCATCCAGGGTGTGGCACTCATCTTGGCAACCTTAGAAAATCTTTCCCAGATGGGCTGAAGTTAACCAAGCTCAGAATAGCTAGCTGCATAAGCCAGAATGCCAGTTTTAATTTTTAGTGAAGAACAAAACTGCCAAGCTTGTGCTTGTGCCAGTGGCACAATTCTCCATCTGTTGAGGAAGCCACATAGAAAGACAAATTACAATCGAAAGTCTATTTGGAAAGAGAGGAATCAGAGCAAAGTGGATAATGTCTATTAGCGCCTGATGAACCCAGCCAGGGGTCTGGAGAGATGAAGCCCTGGGCACTACCAATACTTGTCCCCAAACGTTCCTTTTCCTCTCTTTCAAGGTGACTGTCCTGTCCTCCCTTCTAATCAATCTTTTGGTCTAAGAAATATATTTTCTCTAAAATGCTTCTGCTACACAATTTGTTTATCTATTATGGGCTGAATTTATGGTTTAATTTTTAGAGTTTTGCAGATACCTGGTTGCTGTCCCTGTGTACCACTGACATTCCCCTAATTTTTTTGTAGGTATGGCACACACTCATGAATTAGTGCTTTAACTTTTGTCTAAAGATTAATAGTCTCATGCTTCTAGTCTTAAACCTAGACAAACCTAGAGTTTGCCTGTTCTCTGATCATCCACACAAATGAAGAATCACTTGCATTCCACTTGCCTGTGTCCAGATAACGGATCGGGATCTCCCTGATCTAGAAATGAGCAGGGAGAGTCTGCCTACTTTGCATATAAGGAGACATGCTGCATACCCCAGCATTCTCCCATAAGCTTGATCTATGATTACCTTCCCCGAATTCTTGATGACTCACTCCCGTGTCTGTAATACCTCCAAACCCACTGGGGAAGATCAACCGTCTATATCTGACCTTTGCTGCTTTTATTCTACCCTCACTCTTCTCATACTCCACTCTCCCCTTGTGCTGGCCACTACCTTCTATGTGCAATACTGCTTGTGGGTCTGGCCAGAGATGATATTCCCCTTTCCTACAAGCAAAAAAACAGCCATAGGAGTCTCTTGCAATCATGGCTTGGAGTTTTTACAAACTAGATATAGCAGTTTCTATAGTGCCAGACCAAATGGCTGGCACTATCTAGTTGGAAGAGAGACAAACCACACACTTTGTGTGGGACCACACTCTAGCAATAACCAGGCAGCGGGGACCCAGAGAGACCTCATGGAAGAACAGAGATTTTCATCTCCCTCTTAAAGCCAAATTCTTCTGGAATGGAACTTACGATGCCAGACTGGACTTAAATGTCAGCATACATAGAAAAACTGGCATGCATAAAGTATTGCTTTGATATTGTATGGTACATTCTTGTTTGTTTTAATAAAACTTCATTCTTATGCAAAAGGAGGCTGGGTTTTCAATCTTAAGAAATCCTTGATTTCCCAAGAAAGATTACAGGCCTGGTTGAGGTTGAAACAATAAATATATAAAACTTAAAAAAAAAAGAAATCCTTAAGGAGTAAAATTGATCCACATGGTTTGGAAGGCCCAAGTCCATAAGTCAGACACACACTGACACTCACAGTCTTTTCCTAAGAACTGAAAGCTATGCATATAGTCTGGCAGGGGTCATTTCACACCTCAACTTGACCCTCAACCTGCAATACAGTTGGCCATGAGACGCCATCTGGGGTTGAGCTGCAGCTGGAGGTGTCCTAGGAGCCTAACAGGAAGAGATGGGTTCTGAGAAGCCCTGCACCCGTTCAGTGTCCCCTCTCCTTATTTCACCCATCTTGTAACGGATACTCGTGGCAATTGCCTGTATTGTCAACACAGCGGCACTTGTACGGATGCCACTCTTTTCTTGCAGACCCTCTTTTTACCAGAAGGCAAAGCAAGTATTTCTTCCCTTTTTAACACCTTCGATGTCTATGGCTTCCAGATCTTGGAAGGTTCTGGAATTGTTTTCCATCATACATGCCATCCCTGGTAGCTTTCTAACAGAAGGTCATGCATGAGATTTTCCTGCTTTAGCAAGTTAAAGCACCTTTTTATTAGTACTTGGGCCTTCTGTATTCATTTTATTTACCTTTATTTTACAATTACAATTAGCTATAACTTGCCTTCACATTTTCATTTTTAAAAATTAACATTATTTTTAATGATAGATCATAACTGTATGTATGGAGTGCAATGTGATGTTTTGATATATGTATGCAACATGGAATGATAAAGCTAATTAACATATCCATTCTTGTCCTTTTTGTCTTTTTCCTTTTGGTATTTGGTACGTGTCCTTACAGCTGAATTTGATGGCTTTCTTTCTCTATCCTCAAAAGATAACCTTCCTCTTTGGCTATGAAAGTCAGCTGATTATTAAAAAAAAGAAGATGAACTTCTTGCTGGAGTTCTTAGTGGAGTCACAGTAGCATGGGGAGGAGTCCTGATTTAGTAAATCTCTCTGTGGTATTATCTACCTCTCTGTTTGGGTCCCAAAGAGGGAGGGGAAGATGGTTTCACTGCACTTGCAGCTACCTTGGCTTCTATTGTTCATAATAGGACCCTTGAGGTTCCAATATCTGAACAGGGCCTGGCACATCATATGCACTTAATCAATATTTGTTGAATGAATTAATTAATTTTAGTATTTTAGTGCAAATTCTGAAAGTGTTTAACAAAAAATAAAGGGAATCA